CCCTGACCAGGAATCAGACCCTCAATCCTTTGTTGCACAGGACGACACTCCAACCAACTGAACCACACTGGCCAGGGCGATGGTGCCATTATTATTTATTTATGTTTTAGCCTTACTAGAGGATATTTTTTCCATTGCTTTTCATAGAGAGTGGAAGGAGGAGAGAGAGAGAAACATCGATGTGAGAGAAACACATCGATTGGTTGCCTTCTGCTCGCTTGCCAACCTGGGCCAGGGATTGAGGCCACATCCGAGGTACACACCTGTGCCTGGAATTAAACCCAGGACCATTCAGTCTGCAGGCCGATGCTCTAACCACTGAGCAAAACCTGCTAGGGCTAGCGTCATTATTTTAAAACTTAGCCATTCTAAATTGTGTGTAGTGATATTGCATTTAATTTGTGTTTTTAATTTGTGTTTCCCTAATGACTTGAAAAGATTATTGACAGCATTTTTAAATGTGGTTTATAGAGATTGGCTAGTGATTTAAAAGAGATTATTTCTAAGAATCGATGTGATGAATTTTTCTTAGACATTTAAGTGATCTGACAGAATTCTTCATGAAGAATTAGAATAGTCATTTATCAAAGTTTGCTGTTTGTTTAATTACATTAAAAATGAAGAACTGACTTCTTATAGTTTTAATAATTTTTATTTATAATCTGTCTGGGAAATAAAGCTCATGTTATTCATGTGTAAAATCGGAATGCAATAGCATCAATTCCGATTTATAAAATTTGACATGTCTAGGTATAGAAGGCACTAGGTTTTGATTTGCTTCTTAGAAACATTTAGGTTATGTTCTGTTTGTTAGCTTAGGTTTATTGCTAGAACCTAAATACTCTACTTACCTTCTTAGCTAACATAATTGGGACCAAATTGTCAGTTAATCAAAAAGTCAGTTAAAGTTTTTATTATAAAAAGTTATCAAAAAATAAAACATACATACTTTGAATATTTTATTTAACTTAAAACCAAGGTTTTACATTTTTAATATAAATCTACTGATTGAACTTCTGTGCTTTTTTTTTTTTTTTTAATATATCTTTATTGATTTCAGAGAAAGGAAGGGAAAGGAAGAGAGATAGAAACAGCAATGATGAGAGAGTCATCATTGATAGGATGCCTCCTGCATGCCCCCCACTGGGGATGGAGCCCACAACCTGGGCATGTGCCCTGACCGGGAATCGAACCTCGATCTCCTGGATCCTAGGTCGATGCTCAACCGCTGAGCCAAACCCAGCTGGGCTCTGTGCCTTTCTTGAACTCACTGCATGGGCTACAGTTTCTGGTTTTAAGTTTTATAAAGTGAAGTGGTAACCTAATGACACTTGTGAAGCAGTGTGGGGCAGAATCTTAGATTTTAATAATCTCTTGAAATACCTTGCCCACCTTAAATTCATTTTTCTTAAAAGCGACTTGCCTTTATTGAGTCTTTCCAAAGCTCAGCCCCCTTTTCTTATTTCCCTTTTTCCTCTTCATAGCTGTGCTTGCTCCTTTTGGTCCAAAAGTATATGCACACAGATAGACACACAATATGCACACAACACACACACCATACACACATACATACAGACATGCACCTGTAAGCACAACATGTACACCTGTATACACACACATACACTGTGCACAATACACTTATACACACTTGCACACACATACATACACACATGCACACTTGGGAGCTGCTACCAGTTCCCTTTGATACAAACATTTGTCCTCTAAAAGTTTCTTTTTAAAAAATGTGAGCATTTGAAAAACACAGAAGGGTATAGAATGCCCTCCATTCAGAATTCACGGTTAGCATTTTCTATATTGTTGTCTCATGCCCCGTCTTGGACCCGGTGCTTCGTTCCCATGTCTGGTTCATTCTTCTCTGTGTGTAGGTAGGTGTTCCACGTCTAAGCCCTGGGGCTGCTCTCTGAGGTTTCCGAGCTCTGTGTGAGTCTTGTTTGCTTTGCGACTGCTTCGTGCTGACCGGCAGAGTGTGGTCCCCTCTTGTCACTGCCACAATGACTTGTCACTTTTTGTCCATTTCCTTATTGAGGAAAATGTAGGGTGGTTGCAACTTTTTATGCTCAAAAGTCTTTTATCGATCACCATATTGTATGTCTCTGCAACCAAAATATGTTCATAAATTGAAATGAGAATTTTTAAAGAATTTTTCATCTGGTTTGAGTGGGTATTACAAATACCCAATTGATCAAAACAACACAGATATTATGGTTTTTATAAATAACAAACATAAATACCAAAAAGCATTGGACATGTCTCTTCAGTGGATGGGCTTCCCCGCCCCGCCCCCCCAGTTAATTCACATAGTCACAGTTGAATATAACCTGTTGCTGGAATGAGACAGGCCAGTGTCAGTTCTAATTCTGTTTTTTATTTGAAGTTGAGAAACCTTGTTCACACAAATCAGTAGGTAGAAATTAACAGGAGTTTGATACAGAAATAATGTCTAATTCCAAATTATTGGCCAAGAAATATAAAGATCTCATACCAAAAAATTGATGATTTACAAGGTGACAAGTTGATCAAGTTCCTCCAGTTCCTAATAATAGCTTTATTGAGATAAGATTCATACACTATTAAAGTCACTTTAAAAAAAAAAATTATATCTTTATTGATTTCAGAGAGAGGAAGGGAGAGAGAAAAACATCAGTGATGAGAGAGTCATTGATCGGCTGCCTCCTGCTGGGGATCGAGCCTGCAACCTGGGCATGGAATCGAACCTTGATCTTCTGGATCATAGGTCGATGCTCAACCACTGAGCCACACTGGCCAGGCATAAAGTCACCCTTTTAAAGTGTGCAATTCAGTGTTTTTTCCAGAACATGTTTCCAGTTTTGTCATATTGCAACCACTATTGTGACACATCCTTGTTCCATGTCTTCAGTCTTTTAAAAATAGTTTTTCCCGTTTTAAAATAATACAGGTTAATTGTGGAAAATATATAAAATGCAGTTAAGGTAAAAAGAAAAAAAAAGTAATATTCATCCATTGCCTCTTAATTCAGAGGTTTTATTTTGTAGCATTTATACCTCTGACGTTATGAAAACTTAAAACTGCACTAAGATGTTTGGCCCTGCTGTGTACAGCACATTAGGTTGTGAAAAGTGCTTTAGAGAAGAACAAAGCAGAGATGGGGAACAGGGGAGGTTGGTCAGCAAGCAAGGCGTAGATGTGGAGGTTGTAAATTTAAAAAGGGATGATCAGGAAAGGCCTTGCTGAGATGGAAAGATAAGGTGAAGGATCAAGGCAGAGCTCTTTGGGAAGAACTTCATAAGCGAGGAAATAGCAAGTGCAAGGGCCCTGGGGTGTTAATGGGTTTGACTAGGTCTGCCATTGTATAGTGCCTTGCAGGCCATGGGGAGGAGTTTGGGATTTACTCTAGTGTGATTTGGAGGGCACCAGAATTTCCTGAGCAGTGGATATGGGAAATAGACTTTGGGGCTAGGCAGGAGTGGGGAGACTGGTGGAGTGGATTATAGTATAATCCAGGCAGGAGATGCTGGTGGCTTTGACAAGGGTGGCAGCCACAGAAACATGTTAGAATCAGGAGCCCAGAGAGGAAGAAGAGGAAGGAAGCCCATTGTGTTATCTCTTACTGAGTAACAAATGAAAAATTTAGCTGTTTATAACAATAAATGCTTATTATCTCACAGTTTCTGTGGGTTCTGAATTTGGAGTGGCTTAGCTGGTGGTTTTGGCTCAGGGTTTCCCATGAGGTTGTAGTCAAACTGTCTGATAGGCTGCAGGATCTGCTTCCCGGGTGGCTTTCTCACAGGGCTGGCAAGTTGTTTCAGGCTGGTGGCTGGAGGTTCGGTTCCTCGCCATGTAGACTTGTTCATAGGGCTGGGTGAGTGTCCTCACAACATGGAGGCTTGCTTCCCCCAGCCGTATTTAGTGTAGGAAGAGTCTACCCAAGCAGTGAGAATACCAGGAGGTAAGAACCATGGGGGCCTACTTGGAGGAGGCCCGCCTCACCCATTTTCTGCCGATGTAGAGGAAACTCTGGGAACTAGTGGGATTTAACATGGTTGGACCTTGGAGGTCCCAGGAGGAGGTTGGAGCAGGAGATTCAGGGCCAGGGACCTGTCTCCAACCTGCAAGGCCTTGCAGGAACTGCTTGGCTCTGTGCTTGATTCTGCCTTTTCCTGAGCCTTCCCTCCAGATGCGCTCCAGCCTCAGGACTCTTGGGGGGAGTCAGATGTGAATGAAGTAACTCAGACTCAGAGCTTGGATTTGGGGTGGAGGGAGCTGACTTAGTCTGGGGTCCAGGAATGTATATGAGTCTGCTAGCACTGTCGTAACAAAGCACCACAAACCGGATGGCTTAAAACAGCCGAATTTATTCTCACAGTCATGGAGGCCAGAAGTCCAAAATCAAGGTGTCCTCAGGGTTGGCTCCTCCTGAAGGCTCTGGGGAGGATCCTTCCTTGCTTCTTCCAGATTCTGGTGGCTCTGGGTGTTCCTTGGCTTGTAATGACGTCACTGCAGTCTCTGCCTCCATCTTCCCATGTCCTGCTTCCCTGTGTGTCTCTGTGTCCAAATCTCCCTCTTTCTTTTGTGAAGACTGGTCACTGGATTTAGGGCTCCCTTTCTAGTCTGACTTCTTATTTATGTTTGCAAAGACCCTATTTTTGATTAAGGTCACATGCACAGGCACGGGGGTTAGGACTGAAACATGTCCTTTTGGAGAACACAACCTGCTAGAGAAGGAAGTGATGTTGGAGTTGGGTACTGGGTGAGTCCCTGGGCAGGGAGGAGAGGTCCTGGAGGGAGAAGGGTATTAGGGTGGGTGCAGAGGTGGGGTGGGGTGGGTTGGGTGAAAGGCTGAGGCCTGTGTCTGGAGTGAGAGTGGGAGGGACTGCCCATGGTGGCTTCTCTCCGAATGGAGCTTCTCTCAGGGCTGAGCCTCATCGGCCATCAGGTGCTCCAGCTGGAGTGTGTTGAGCCTTAATTTACAACTGTTTTTGTTCGTTTTTGTAAAACAGGAAACTACTTTGCTTCACACTTTTTCATGGGAGGTGAGAAGTTCGACACTCCCCACCCTGAAGGTTATCTCTTTGGAGAAAACATGGATCTGAACTTCCTGGGCAATCGCCCAGTCCAGGTGGGTCTTGTTGG